TGGGAAGGATGATAAATCAAGTAAGCATCTGGAATCTTTTTTTAAAATATTTTTATTGATTTCAGAGAGGAAGGGAGAGAGAGATAGAAATATCAATGATGAGAGAGAATCATTGATAAGCTGCCTCCTGCACGCCCCACACTAGGATCGAGCACACAACCTGGGCATGTGCCCTGACCAGGAATCGAACTGTGACTTCCTGGTTCATAAATCGACATTCAACCACTGAGCAACATTCGCTGGGCTAAATTTAGTGTAATTTTGAATGTTCGGGCTTAAGTCTGCCATTTTATTTTATTTTTTCTGTTTGTTCTCTCCATTTCATATTTCTCTTTCCTACCTTTTTCAGAATTTGATCTTATGTATAGTTTTTTAAAGAAATGTTTTGGTATAGCTTTTGTAGCTGTAGCTCTTGGTATTACATTATATACATAACTTATCACAGTCTACTTATCATTTTGCTAGTTAGTACAGAAACCTTACCTCCCTTGGCATTCTTTTTTTTTTTCCCCTTGGCATTCTTAACTCTTCCCTGCTTATAATGTCATTGTCTTACATATGTTCTCTGATACATTTAGAACCATATCAGATACTGTTATAATTTTTGCTTCAATCATCAAAAAATTTAGAAAACTTAAAAGAAGGAAAACCTATTATGTTTACCCATGTTTTTGCTTACCATGTTCTTCCTGCTTTCATAATTTCCTTTCTGTTTAAGAAACTTCCTTTGCTATTTTTTTAGCGTAAGTCTACTGGTGACAAATTCTCTTAGTTTTTCTTCATCTGAGAATGTCTTGATTACCCCTTCATTCCTGAAGGATATTTTCACTGGGTGTAGGATTCTGAGTTGAGAATTCTTTTCTTTCAGTACCTGAAAAATATTGTGCTGCTTCCTTCTGGCCTCCATGGTTTCTGATGACAAATCCATTGTCATTCTAATTATTTTCCTCCTACAGTTAAGATCGTTTTTTTCTCTGGCTATATTCTGTAATCTTTGTCTTTAGGTTCAGAGGTTTAATTATGATGAATCTTTCAGTACGTTTATAGCTTTGCCTTTTTTCTCCTCTGCTTCTTAGAGTTCAATGACACAAATGCTAAACTTTTTTTGTTATAGTTCCTTAGTTCCCTAAGGTTCTGTTTTTTGTTTGTTTTTTAATCTATTTTATTTCTGTTGTCCAGGTTGGGCAATTTCTATTGTTCTATCTTCGAATTCACTAATTCTTTCTTCTATACCCTGCATTCTTTTATTGAGCCTATCTACTAAGCTATTTTGTTTCAGTTACTATATTTTTCAGCTCTAAAATTTAATTTCTTCTTTATATTTTCTGGTTGTTTTTTTTTCTTAGTCTTTATATTTCTTTGCTAAGCCTTTCTATTTATTCATTTGCTTTTTTGTTTTTGTTTTTCATCATTTGTTTTAAGCATGTTTGTAATTGCTCATTGAAGCATTTTTATTAAGGCTGCTTTAAAATCCTTGTCAAAATAAAATAATAAAAAAAGAGAATAAAAAATAAAATCTTTGTCAGATAATTCTAACATCTCTGTCAGCTCAGTGTTGCCATCTATTGATCTTTTATTCCCTTGGTTTGAGATATGAGGCTCTGGATCTTAGTTTAACCTTCTCATTTAGCTGTTCCTTTGTTTGTTTGTTTTTACTCCATTCTGACAGGAGAAGGGGGTGCTGCTAACTTGTTACTACCAGGTAAAATCTACCTCCGCCAGTCTCCTCGTTTAATCTGTTGAGACTCAAGGGAAGACACCATGGGAGAGGCTCCCATCTCATCTCTGAGATTGTGGTGGAACTGGCCTCATTATTGTTGGATGATGGTGACGGTCCTGACTGTCCATGAGGTCTCCTCTGACCTTACTTCAGTAGGGAGGCATGGCGGTGCCGCGTTTCTGCCAGGTGGAAGCTCAGGCTCCCCATGTGGTCGCCACTGACACTGCAGGCAAAACACATTGCAGGCACTGGGAATGAAAGTCCTCGCTCTCTGCTTGACCTTTCTGATGCCACCCAGAACTTTCTTACAATCTAGGGGATGGGTTCTAGGCTCTGCACTCAGCCTTTGCTGGCATGGATGTGGTTGGGGGCCATCTTTTAAATTTGGTGTTGACTAGAGTGGTTATTATCTAAAAGTCTTATGCCTTGCCCTAGCCGGTTTGGCTCACTGGATAGAGCGTCAGCCTGTGGACTGAAGGGTTGCAGGTTCGATTCTGGCCAAGGGCACATGCCTGAGTTGTGGGCTTGATCCCTAGTAGGGGGCATGCAGGAGGCAGCCTATCAGTGATTCTCTCTCATCATTGATGTTTCTATCCCTCTCCCTTCCTCTCTAAAATCAATAAAAATATATTTCAAAAAAATAAAAGTCTTATGCCTTGCTGGGCCAGCCCTTTCCTGGTCCTTTGGCTAGAGAGAATAGGCTCTTGTTAGTCTCCTTTTGTCTGTACTGTTGTCATTTCCAGGTTGTTGGCTTCTTCAATTCCAAGCCTGGAATATATGAGGCAAAAGAAAATCCAAGGAACTCCCCATCATGTCTTTTCTTGGGTCACAAGTCCCTAGCTGGTCTGCCTTCTTATATTTGTTTTACATATAATGTCCAGGGTTTTTTGGTTGCACTTGGTGGGAGGAATAAGGAAAAATATATCTACTCACTCTTCCCAGAAACAGAAGTTCTCTTGGAGATTTTTAACCAGTTTCTTCAGTGGGAGCTTGAACCATGTACCCATGTTCAATTTACTGACTAAAGACCCACTCCAAACAATCCAACTGACTGGAGTCACAGCACAGCCACTGGGCTAAATTTGAGTATTGACAATTCCTGAAACCTAAATAAACTATTAGCCCACATGCTCTAGCAACACATTATAAAAGATTTTTTGTTCAGGAAGGGTTTTCCTAAGAATAGAAGGATGGCTTGATTTTAATAGGTTAAAGGAGAAAATCCATGTGATCATTCCACAAATGCAAACATATGCAATTGACTGAATTTAACATTCTTTCTGAAAAAGATTCTTAATAAAATAGAAATCAATGAATACTTTCTTTAAACAATTAAAATATAAATATCTCCAATCAAGTCAGCATCACACTTACTAGATGCAGGTATGGAGGCAAAATAAGAATAATAATAATATTATTATTAATAATTATTATAATAATAATCCTGCCCATTAAATTCGGTCATCCATATCACTTCTATTATTTAACCTTGTTCGGGCAGTACTAGCCAATGATATAGTCACAAATAGGATATAAGTAACATATTCTGGCAATTATACTTTTATTTCCATCATCTTCCACCATGTTGTGTTCCCTTGGAGTTAACATTAACTCCAAGGATTGCTTAATTCATCCTCTATCCTCAACAGTTTTTTTGGCTATCTTTCCCTTTCCATGTTTCATAATCAACTGATAAAATTACGATCAGGGTCATCTCTTATATATTTTGTATTCTTAATGCTGTGAAAACAGTAGGTCTTTGGTGAATATTTTCATGTTAACAATCCAAAATGTGATATAAAAATTAAATTTATAAGGTTTGTTCAGAACCTAATACTTTGTGATTACACAGTAAATATTTGACTTACCAACTTTTGAGATAAGATCAAAATGGCACATCCTAGAATACTCAATATTTCTGAATTGGAATTTGGTCAAATCATAATTGCTTTTATACCTAAGGCCTTCAGCTAAAAGTCCTTTGGATATTCTAAAACATTATCAAAACTTGATGAGACACACGCAATAAAAAGGAGGCTAGTGTATAACCTGAAAAATTACATCAGTACTCAATTATGGTTTCGCTTTGTAACTGTCACTCTCATTTCTAACTCACCACACAACGGTCTAAGACATGGGAACAGAATATATGCTTGCTCTTTCACACCTATCGTTTCTAAATTTAGCTAAAAGTTGTATGCAAGAGGTTAACCAAAGGACAAGTTTTCTAAGTTAAAATACCTCAATTGTGTGTGTTCTCCACAGGAGATTTGCAGTGCAGCCCGTGCACATTGGATCGGACACTCCAATTTAGTTATGATGATAAGTAATAAGCTAAGTCCTGCCACTAGCCTAAGATCCTTTCACCAAATCTCATGTGTTTTTTTTAAAAAAAACTTACAAAACATCAAGTTTAAAGTTTACCTCTGTTCCAGAGTGTCTGTCTCTGATGACATCCATATGCCTCTTAAATAGTTCTATGACGGCTTTGTAGACCAGCTCATACTGTTTCTGGGGAGCATCACAAACCGGAACAAAGGAAAACAAACAAAAAAACTTGGTAAACTACAGAACCTGATTTCAGAAATATGAACTCCAATCAAATCCTAGGCTAGCAAACCTGAAGAGACCATTCACATTAGTTCGACAGTGCCTTGTGCTTGTATAGCCCATTTCAGATTTCAGAGCACTTTTAGGCTGCTAGGAACAGCTAAATATTTGATCTACCTCTAACTAATATACAAGGAAGGAACTTGCAGCATGTTTTCTATGTTCTAACCCCCTTTTCTTACTTATCTTTCCCTCCATCTTCATCCCTCTCTTTCTGTTTTCCTTGCTCATGTGTTAAAATTTTTATTTAATATTGGATACATTTTTGTGTGTGTGCAAGCCACCTTTACCTTTTCTGGAAAACGGTAGATAGATGGTTTTAATATGTATCATTTAACTTGGCCCTTATAATTGACCTATAAACAAGCTAGGCTGTCATTCCTGTTTATAGACTATTTGTCCAAGGTTATTCAGAAGTAATTTCCAGGATTTGGGTTAGAACCCGTATCTTCTGACTCAGTTTAGTGCACTGAGATCAAACTGCTGAAATTATGTCTTAGCAAAGACATCAAAGAAGACTGTTGAATAGAGTTTGAAAATGTATGGTTATAAAATTATTTCATTATAGAGAAATGAGTCCTCCACATTTACAATGTTTATGGGTTTTTACTACTCCATTTTTGCCTCCATACCTACTCAAACACTTGATTTTGTATGTACCTTTCATCTGAATGGGGCTATTCAGGGTTTTCCCCTGACTCTTTACACAATCTTATACAAATAAAGCACACTTTTTTCCAAAGGTAATTTTAGCAGGAGAACAATGAACAGTCGATGTCAACCAACAGGACCATTGGTACACTCTTTAAATTTCTTAATAGAGAAAAATCACACAGGAAACACTCGTTTGGTTACTGTGCTATTTCCTGGTTAGAGTAGTGTCAGAAAAAGCAGGTACAACTGGTAAGATATTTGTTCCACTAGTCGCTGATAAAGCCAAAATATGAAGACTAACTTAAAATTATTTCAGCTCTCTTCCAACTCTTAAAAATAGGCTAGATTTGGACTTTTTCTGAAATGGGTATGGTTTTATTTATTGATTCAGTATTACAATTTAATATTATACAACTTGGTTGTATACATTGATATGGATCAGCTTTCTCTTAACTGTGACAGCCCTAAACTAGTCAATGCTTTCATTTCATATAAACTTTCCCCCTCACAGGTAGAATATAGAACACACCTACAGTCAACACATGAAAAAAAAATTATTTTTTCCACTAGCTATTAGTGGAAAACCTGTGTGGGCCAAACAGAATGTTTATATTATAATAGCTCTTCATTTTTTCCCTTCAATTCACAGCTTCTAGATGAAAATATATGAACTGCCACTGTCAATCATTTTACCTCTAAACCTATGTGTCAGTTAATTTGCCTTAAACAGATTAGGGTTTTGCTATTTAAGCAGTAAAAAGTAGTTCTAACAAATTATGCAAGAGTGTCTGATCCCTAATATCAATAAATGTGTGATGAATGAATGAATGGGTGAATGATAAACTGTATCTTCAACATGGAGACCATTTAGATATGTGGGTAAAATTATTGGTGAGGAAATATGGGTGAAATTAAATATTGTAGAAAGTGAGAGATTCAGGCTGGTATTGTTTCAGCTAGGAGGGAGAACTTGAACTGGAAAGGAGAGGAGAAAAGTGAAAGAGCATTACTAATGGATTGAATGAGTGTGAGCAATGTAGGCTGGGTTCATATTTTGTGATACATATATAATCATATATATAGAGTGATTGTAATTATGTTTTTTTTAAAAAAGTATGCATAAAATAAGGACCAGGAGAGACTATAGAAAAATAGTACCAGTGGCTACGTAGGTGATAGGATAATGGTTGATTTTACCTTCATTTTTCATTATTTCCTAACATGAGCATAGACTGCATGCTATAGATTCTGTTACCACCTACTGAAGTAGAAATATCTCTGATTTTCTATGGTTTCAGAAATAAATTACTACTACAAATTTTCAAATTAATATGAACCAACTATTTCTTTCTAGGAAGTCAAACAACTTGTTGAGGTGGTTTTTTTAAAAACATATTTTGTAAGAAATATTATATTGGTTTCTCAATATTTTCTGGAAAGTAAAATATAAGGGATGAAAGGAATTTGACACACGGCAAGGGATACCAGAAAAAATATTGGGATATTCAGAGTTAGAGAAAATGGGAACAGATTAATGTACTTAAAAGTAAATTGATGTTATGACTAAGGAATCAGCTGGTTTTGGATCCTTACTATTAAACAGAGAGTGGAGCAAGACTCAGACACATGTTATGATCCATTTACCACAGTCCATACCTGAGTTTGAACTAATGAAGGCCTCTGTGTTCGCATTTCCCGAATCAAAGTGAAAACACTGAAGTTCTCGGGAATTATCTATCAAATAAAAGGAAAAAATATCTTACTCCTTTGTTTCTATCTTTGTTAATAAATTATTGCCACTTTCTCATGTCTTGATACTTCCATGATATCTGCTCTCCAAACATGGGATAATATCAGAAAATAGAAGTATTTTTAAAACTAATGAAGATTCTCATCACTTGCATCACAATTTACAGCCTGCTGTTTGCCCTAGAAAAGACTGAAGAAGCC